AGGAAGGAAGGAAGGAAGGAAGGAAGGAAGGAAGGAAGGAAGGAAGGAAGGAAGGAAGGAAGGAAAAAATTAAAATTACAATTATAATACAAAGTTACGTATAAATTGTTACAATAAATGGAAACATTTTTTAGCATAGTATATTGATTGCGTCTATTAGATTATAAAGAAAATGTTCCAAATGGATCCATACGAATAGTAAATTCTAGAATTCAATTAAATTGGTATAGTAGAATCTGACCTCCGCGCTATCCACGGCTAGTCAGAAAAATGTTGTCGCCTCCGCCCCTTTCTTTTAAAAAATATCTCCATCTTATTGTTAGGCGCAATCCGAATCGCCAACTACTCCTGGTTTATTTATCATACATTTTATTATACAATATAAAGCAAAATTAATGCACCTTGTTGATACTGCTATAAAATTTCTCTAACTCACCTTCACCTAAATCGTCCACCTCACCTTTTGCAAAATGGTCGCCGTTTATGGCCCTCCATCGACTGCATTGAAATGTCTACCATCAGGCTTATTTTATTGAGGCAAAGTGATCAGGATTCACAAGCACGAAGTACTTGTACATACAGAATAATTAGTCCAGACTAACAAATTGGAACTTGGACCCGTTTGCTTTTAACAATTTCAAATTACATACCAAAATTTGGAAAGCTGGAGGAGGAATAGTGGAGAGAGACTTCTCATTAATTTCGTCGTCTACAGATAATTCTACATTTTTCTTCAATTTTCTACAAGTGGGCAATTATTTTTTCTAACCCGGCGATTCTTCAATTTTATACAAAATGTAATTTCTATTTTTACTCATTGATGATAGACATCTAAATATAATCACCTAAAAAGGTTAACCGACAATATTCGATTTTGAAACTGGCTTTCACCCATTGTAATGCTTAAGACACCTGCAGAAATAATAACAAAGAATTTGAATTTGCTTGCAATTCTTTGTTTGGCAAAATGAAAAATAGGCTACAGTATAATTTTCTTCGTACTCTACCATACAAATAAATCCTTTAAAAAATCCCGATTTTAAAACTTTTCTTTGTGAAAATGCAACAACAGCGCTGTTAGAAAAGAAGAGTAATTTGGGATAACCCATGTGTGAGAAGAAGACAGAGCCCCATAAAACACTGTAATGTCGAGAAGCTCTACAGAAACTTACAGCAAGAGGATAAACGACTTTCTTGTTTTTTAGCTTAATGTAGCACACACATACTCACTTATATTTAGTTTTACCATCCCAAGTTTCAGCAGAAATTTTTCGTTGACCAAACCAACGGCCGTTTAGGAGTTTTATACATTCATCAGCCTCCTCTGGCTCACGAAAAGTTATCTGCGCTACACCCTCTGGATTCCTCTGCAATTACAATAACAAAATATTTCTTCATCAGTTACAATACCAATTACATTAAAATCCACAGACAAAATGATTCAAGAAGGCTTCAGCATATTACTACTTTATAGCACAAAATTACAAGATAATTTGCAGGCCACAATTTTGAATGCAATAAATACTTATATTCTTCCTATTCATAATGGTACTATTACATTCGAGTTACGTGAAAATAACAAGTCACACAAGTTTATAATTCAATAAAAATAACATATTTTTCGAAGACACTATGAAATATTCGAATGAAACAGTAAACTATTATTACTTTGTTTAGCGTACACGTGGGAACCGTTTTTTTTTTTCGTGCTTACAGAAATGCATGTATTCTTTATGTCAATTTCTTCTTACCGATTTTATTATACAGATACCTACATCATAAATAATAACCTTCTTCACATCACCACACTTCGAACATTCTTCTCGCAGATCTTGCTGATATTCCAGGATGAGCGCTACTTCCTTCTCAAAAATAGCAGGGTCAAAAAGATTTTTTACAATAACGACACGTTCATGTTTTGAACGCTCGCCACGAAGCTTATCTGGACGCCAATCTAATAACCTAAAACATTCGCGAAATTAATTAATTTTAAATTATCGTTAAGAAACAGAATCAAAAAATATCATAAAAATTATATATTAAACGTAAATTGTATAATAAAAAATTATTCCCCAAAACGTTTTGTGCATCACTTATTTGTAAACTTTAATTCAATGCAGCTCCGCGCGTTTTCTTGAGATTAGTGGGGTAAAATAATCGTCTTCTCTTACTTCTCTACTTACTACGTCTTTCACTAGTAAGTAGATTCTTTCACATGTGGCACGATAAGGGTTACCCAGAAAATCTTTAACCCTTTAGGTCATGCACATATTTACTATCAGACAGGAGCGAATCTTTATTACTATCAAATTTTGCAAAGAACGCTACTTTTATGCAGTACTCAAATTATTCTAGTAAAAATTGCGGTGGAAGAGATTCCGGAACCTACGAAAACGTTCAGAGATTTGCATTTCTCCACCGCCCCCATGTCACTGAGTTAACTTTTTTGGCATTAAATCATTTGTACTCTTCACCAATATGTAGCTAGTCAAGAACAATAATTGGTGCACCTTTGGTACAAAATGTCACTGAATACTCGATGTTTTTATTTTTAATAATTTGTACCAAATCGGAAGATGATACTACCTCATCATAAGCTGCTCACACCGTATATATGAATAAAGATATTTGTAAAGATAATTGGCACATTTTATTTATACTACTCTAGTCACATGGCAATCAAACCTAATGTAAGAATACGCTCGCTTACTTTTCTTGTATTTTCTTCAATTTTTCCTTATCTTTCTTTCGGCGTTTTCTTGGCTTCAGGTTTGGATTGAATTCACCTTTCATTTGGAACTTGGCGCGTTCCACTTTTAATTTTTTGCCTCGAAGATCACTGCCATCCAGAAGTTTCAATGCTAGCTCAACGGATTCAACCTGGAGGGATTAATAAAGTCCATTATTTCATTGATTTGTAACAAGAGCCCACACTGTACTCTAAAAAACTATTTAATAGAAAAGATGCATAGGATAGAAGTCCTCTCCTTCTCTGGATCCATCCCTATTCGCAAGAAAGGAAGGAATTTGCCTCAAATGATGTATCTGGTTCAATAACAATATTATTTCTTTTTATCTAATTGAAATAAATGAAGAAGGAAGATGAAATTCGTCCAAAACATTTCTGAAAATGTATTTCTAACATTACTGAAATGTATAGTTTCTAAATATTTTTTCCTTAAAATATAGATACAATATTTTTACATCGATAAGGAATGTTGTATACACTGCAACAAAAAACTAGGTAATAAACAACCAAAATGAAAACTTGCATTACATTTAATTTATTACCATGGAGAACAATAATTTGAATGTTCGCCCATGTGAATACAAATGAGAATTGGGGGTAACGAGGGCATGGTGCCCGAGGAAGGTCCGTCAATTCCGTGCAAACGGCGCCGCAGACCGTTGAGATCTTCCACGCAGTTTGAGGCCCTCAGCGCGTCGAATACAGATTGCGCTCTGTACAAAAATGTAGAAAACAGAAAACGGGAAGGAATTTTGAAGAAGAAGAAGAAGAAGAAGAAGAAGAAGAAGAAAAAAGAAAAAAATCTGAAGGCAGAGATAACTCCACATCAAGAAAACCACGGACGATATGCGCGACTACCGGCGAATAAAACTGATAAGCCCATCACTTACTGCCGTCATCAACAATTAAAGGTATAAGTTTCTCTAAAACAATTGACGAATTCATTGTCAAGAGAATGCTGATATACGCGTATAAATAACTATCTACAAGCAGAGAAACATAAAAGACGAAATATCATAATTTACCATCATGAACATTTCAGGAATAAGAGTTGGTATCGAAATATTTCAGATTTAATAGGATTTTATTATTAAAATTTGTGAACTGTTGTGAAATATCAATATTACTGCATTGAATTTTAATGGACTGGCTGAATTTTAAGGAACTGTCGCTAATCACACAAGGTGGTTTGATTAATTCCAAGCGTGGGTTATATTTCTGTGGAAAGAGCTTTGTTTTCCAGAAGTAAAAGGAAGCAGCGTTGAGAGATAAAAGCATGCACCCTGCAGTGGAGCTCTCTTCCGGGTCCAGTATAGCACGTCCTGGGTGGCTCCGTGGACCTGGTTCTGGGCATGCACAGGGCGGCGATTTAGGTTTGTCCGAGCCGAGCTCGGCTGGTGCCAGAAAAGGCTGGGGCGCAAGCCGCTCAATACAGCCGGGCACATGGCAGTTCGATCGTCCTCGGCGCCGAGACCCTACGTCTGAGAATACTACTTATGCCATTATCGAGAACGAATAATATCGTCCCCCATAACGAAATCGGGGCGCGCCCTCTGCAAGGGGGCCTGGTTACCCGAGTACAGCTCCCACTAGAAGCGGTTTTTACGAACAAATTACAAAATGTCTAGTTTTTAAAATTCTGCTAATCTCGCGCTTTTTAAAACTATTATTATTATTATTATTATTATTATTATTATTATTATTATTATTATTATTATTATTATATTGTTTTTTTAAACTTTTATTCATCTTTCAAATATTTGTAGTTCAAATGTTAGGAAAGGATTCTGGAACTCGAAAAAAATAGCGCTTTTTTTACTTTCTCCCCCATACGAGTACGTCACATAGTTTCTAAATATTTTTTATTAAAACATAGATACAATATTTTTGAATAGATAAGGTATGTTGTATATACTGCAACAAAAAACTAGGAAATAAACAACAAATTGACAACTTGCATTACATTTAATTTATTACCATGGAGAACAATAGTTGGAATGTTGGCGTCACATTAATCCATTTTACTATTGTTGTTTTTTGACTAAAATACATTCTGCGTCATAATCATACAAGTCTTTCTCTAATGAAGTTGTGACAGAAGCCACGATTCTAATAAATATCTTGAACGCATTGTTTATCACATTTCAGTGGAAGAGAGTAACTACGTGTACTACTAGTAGAGCATACTATACAACGAAAACTGAAACACAAAATACGATCGCACAAAGCCTGTAGCAAACTTCTGCATGGTTGTACAATTCAAACAGCGTGTGTCCGAAAGTTGTGTAATGTTTTGAAAGTTCAATTGTTTCGCAAACAGCGATTACTTGCTATTAATAGGTAGCTGCCCTTTCCTACATATTTTTTAGCTCTTTTCTGTAATAGCTTATATATCTCATCAAAAGAAACATACCTAAATTTCTAGAAAATGGCGCGCAGAGCGCTCCCCCTACTCTAGGCCGCGAATGAGCAGCACCGATACTTTTGTGCCTTCACAGAGACATATTCACATACAAAACGTGATACGAATGTATCAACTCTTAAGAAAGAGACGATTGAGGGGTGTTGCGTCGGTTACTACGGACGCAAGTTGTTTGGGAGAGACTGACTCGGGTTTCTAAGAAATGGATGCCTGGATTTAGTTCGAGATATTTCAAGTGATATTTTGGTTTAAATACCTCAACAGTGACGTCTTCAAGAAATTAGAAGTGTGGCAAAATCTTGGGGAAGGTATTTAAGAACATTTAACGGTGGTTCTAGAATACGGACAGCGACGTTGGGTAAATGGAAAACAACGGCAGCTGAAGTTTTTGGAGACACCAACTGTCGCGGGCATCTCCTGGCGCATATACTGTTGCGGGTCACAAGTTCATGTTTCGTAACACTGAGTAGGGAGCGTGCTTGCCCTTCCAGATTGCTCGGCTCTCGCCCAGGGAGGTCAATCACAATACCAGAAGGTCTCCGGTCCCGGCTCTACCGCGCAAGAAGACACCTTTCCCCGGGCGCGTGCGCGCGGGTGGGCCGCCTTGCGCCACGCCCCCTTCGGGAGCTGCACGCCCTAGCAACGAGGCATCTGGGTCATCGGCGCCGCCCCCGCCGCGGCAAATCGCATCACCATCACTAGCCCCCCCTCCCCCCTTCCCGGGCCACTCAACAGCAGGCGCGTTGGTGATGAATGAATGCACGGACAGACGGACGGGCGGGCGGGAATGAACAACAATATCGAAAGAGTAGGCTACACGAATTCTTTTCAGAAGCGACCTCTCAAGAACATCATCCACTCTTTCGTCGATGTAAGAGGGCGGAAAATAGGCCTCTTGTTCATCTAAGGTGTACTTACGGTCAGTCGAGTATTTAACTCGAGTACGTAAAGACGGCAACTGTTACCGCAACACAAAAATTACCCGCCGTAAACAGCAGCTCCTCTCGGCCGCTGAATAATCGCTTGATTGCTCCCGAAGCTGCTGTTGCCCCGTCGCGCGCGCACTCGGTCTTAGAGGGCCTTTCGCAATGAACACGTCGAAGCAGACGGCAGAACATAAACATGTACTTTTAACACAAACACAGGCGTACTATTCACCATGACCGCGACCGTGAACCGCGTTCGTTTCTGTTGAATGAAAAGCCTATTTCTTAATATCTTGCTGCGGTTTGTCTTATGTTAACGTTCACCATGCTGAATGATTCAATAACATCAAATAACATCACGACGCCAAGCGGTTAGGTGCTTGGCGCCGTGATGTTATGCATCTCTGCTTAGAGAGTTAGGAGAGGGAGCGCATTTATCTAATCGGAAGCTTCAATTTCAAATATTGATGCTCTCGATTGGATAACAGAACCTATCTAATCCACAAAACCCATCATAACTTGCCAATTGTACGGTAAAATTTATTGTGCTGGGTTTACACTATTCCATAAATGAATACTGTAGAGATATGACACAATTTTTAGTCCATAAACAGCAAGTGTGTCATAATCTGTGCCTTAAGATGTCATTTTATGAAAGATTTCTTGTAACAAGAAAGGTCTTTTATAATGACGGAATACAAAAAAGTAGTTTACTTTAAGCAGAAAAGTCTCAATCAAAGTTTGGTCTCAGTCCGTCATTGAGGATGATTCAGATCATATACAGGTCGTCACGAACTAGGCTGTTACATTTCCAAAACAGAAACACACACACACACACACACACACACACACACACAAATCAAACAAACAAAAAACAACAACAAAACAACAAACAAACAAAAAACGCGATAATCAAGGTTTTCTGTTCTAAAAATTCCTTCCATGAAATTTTTCTTCCAATTTTTGTAGGAATAGGGCTAAATGCACTCTATAAAATGACAAACATTCCACATTGCTGTATTCTTTTGGTATTAAAAAAATATACAAAACTATTTTTATATCCCTCTCACGCCCTTAATATTTAAATTATTGATGATTTGCATACATATATTATAGCACTTGTGAGAGCACGTGCTTCTCATGTCGTCTTAAGTTTCTTAGAACGCAAAACTTTTCTATATAAATGAGTTCAAAATAAAGCATTTTTAGAAATGCTAGAACAACATTTTTGTTCAAAAACATCCATTTTTTATCTTCAATTTTTTTCTTCTTTTAATTTTCTTCGTATAGTTCTAAAATCACTGAATAACATGACCAGAGAGCCATTAACATAACATGACACCAATCGCTTTTTAATGTAGTCACTTTTTTTTAGTAGTTATGCAACAGTACATTTTTTCCGAATTTTGAAATTTGCAATTTTCAAAATCCAGAGAGTTTAAACAAAATGAGACCTGCGACATTCTTTTAAGCGTCTCTTGTATCCGCGGAAAAGGTTAAAGAAAAAAAAATTAAGTGGGTTTTGAGAAAATGTGTTTTTTATAAACTATTAATTTCAAGCACAAACGACTCGTTTTCTCAAAACATTCCACATGAGCGTTTTTAAACATTTTTTTGAACAGATTGTGTTTAAGGCTACAAATCTTTATCTCCAATTTTGTAGTTTTGAAATGTTAACTTTCGACAATTTTCGAAAATATAGAGAGTTTGCCGGACATGAGTCGAAAGCACCACTAACTTACCGCCTTAACGAAGATATAAGAGCAATATTTAAAGAAAATAT